CATATACTATTGGATAAGTAGACTGATACTATGTACAAAGTTACTACATACTATAACATGCAGTCAACATGTACTATTGGATAAGTAAACTTATACTATGTACAAAGTTACTACATACTATAACATGCAGTCAACATGTACCATTGGATAAGAAAATTTATACTATGTACAAAGTTACTACATACTATAACATGCAGTCAACATGTACTATGTATTCACTTGACATATACCATTAAAGACATTAACATGTACTATCAAGGTGGTTGTGCTCTTACCCTAAATCAACACTTTCCAAGAACAGATCCAACAATATCCTCTCTTCTTCGGATATTTGGTCACGACGTACGTAGTCCTTTCTTTCCCGGTAATAATCGGCATTCTATATAACGAATAAATCACACCAATTATGGCAAAAATAATAATAATGTAATACTAATATAATCATAAATACCTTGATCCCAGGGACTGAAACCGAAACCTTGGACACATGAACTTGTTTACGACCACGTCCTCGTCCTCGTTCTCGCACGCGTGGAACTTTGGCCTTTGACTTTGGCCTTCGACTTTGACTTTCGTCTCCTTGATTTCTCTCTCTTTCTTCATTTCGTTCTCCTTCATCTTCCATCCCCTCTACTTCATTTTTTTCTCCTTCTTTTTCCCTTTCCTCTATCTCTATCTCTGCCTCTATCTCTATCTCTTTCTCTGTCTCTGTCTCTCTCTCCTTTTCTGTCTCTCTCTCATTCTTTCTCTCTCATTCACTCTCTCTGTCTCTTTCTCTTTCTCTTTCTCTTTCTCCTGCTCTTTCTCTATCTCTATCTCCTTCTCTTTCTCTATCTCTTTTTCTTTCTTTCTCTTACTCTGCATTTTTTTTCTTTATTTTCTTCTTCTGTTACATTCCCCCTCTTCCTTTTTATGTTATTCTTCTTATGCTGCAACTAAAAAAAACAATAGTACGAAACATGTTATACAATAGTATTATATTAGTTGACATATAGTATGTTCCAATGTGAATGGAAGTATGAAGTTTAGGGTTTATTGTATTAATGACTTACAGGTGTTGCTTCCACGTCTTCAATCTCATCTTCACTACCTTCAGAACCTATTTCAACAAACCTATCAGCACTAATTCCAACAACTGGACCAGAAATTACTTCCAAAACCGGAGAAAGCAACGCTTTCTCTTTTGGGTACACAGAAAATGGTATAACCTAATAAACGTAAAAAATTTGTTAGCAATTACCTAATACATTATATATTTTGTAACTCAAAGTGTTACATGTACTTGTTTTATCTGATCAAAAAGCAACCTAGCTGCTTCTTCATCGATTGGGATTTTGCTGTCTCGCCACCGGAAGAACCGGGGAAATTTGTAAACGCTGGTGGAAACCCCTAGTGACGTGATCCTTTCATGCACCCATGCCTGCGTATTTTGGAATCATTATTAATTGGTATATTCAATATAATATAATATATATTCACTATTAGATATCACTTACCAATAAGCCGATAGTGCATCCATCAAAATACTTTAACCCCCCCTTCAGATACATCTCCATATTCTCAACAAGAGTATCATATACCAACTTTCCCCATGCAAAAGACCCTAAAACCTCCAAATCTTCTACATGCGGATAAACCCACCTTTCTAACGTTTTGTTACCCTTTGGCAGTAGAATAGTATTAAACAGATAAATAGTGTACAATCTGCTGAAATCTTCAACAGATTGTTGATCGGTCATAACTGCATAGGCCTCCAGTTTATAACCAATATATGGCCTCGTCATTAATGATAACTTACCATCAAAAATACGTGTAATGAAATCAGTGTCTCTGCCATCCATATTCACATCCACCGGTACGCCTTCGTACTGCAGCCCTAATACGATAGATAATTGCTGCGGAGTGAATTCCAAGCGTATAGTATTTCCCCCAAACCAGAAGGCCCGATCTTCTGCATTGTACGCTTGCATGAGAGACACAACCCTAGGGAAGCTGTGGTTTATTTTAGGCATGTCCATGTAGTGATAGAAGGGATTTTTCTTCAGTACTTCATAATGTTGTTTCTTCATCACTTTTTTCACACCTTCCTTAGTTGTTTGAAAGGCGAACGATGAGCACCTGCAGCCTATATATTGATAGCTTGCTGCAATCTTCTTTTACAACAATTCCTGCAATTACATACACATAAAACAAATACAATTATAACAAATACAACGTACTATAAAGTTCCACATGTCAATACCATCCGAAGTCACTAGTAATACCATTCAAAGGCACTAGTAATACTATTATGGCATATGACTTATACTACAGGACCATCAAACATTATACTTCTAGTACCACATGTCAATACCATCCGAAGTCACTAGTAATACTATTATGGCATATGAATTATACTACAGGACCATCAAACATTATACTTCTAGTACCACATGTCAATACCATCCGAAGTCACTAGTAATACCATTCAAAGGCACTAGTAATACTATTGTGGCATATGACACATACTACAGAACCATCAAAGATTATACTTCGAGTACTACATGTTAATACCATCTAAATGCACTATTAATACCATTACTGCGCATGACACATACTATAGAACCAGTACGAAAAATACAATAAGCCTCTTTCCCATATCCTATATGAAACCCTTGTTAGGACTCAAAATGCTTTGGGGACATGCTAATGTCACCGAAGAATAATACCCATGAGAAAACTGTTACAAAATCATGAAATTCGACAACAAATAAATGATCTTTGCAAACCCAAACAACAGAACAACAAATATTGGAACCGATTTAATGATTAGGGGAAACACCGAATAAAGTCGAGGCATAATACCCATGAGTGGATATGTCCAAAATCATGAAATTCTATAACAAATAAACCTTTTTGCCCTGCTTAAGCAACACCCAAATGGGTCTGTTTCCAAGAAAATGAAAAAAAAATAAAAAATCAAACCTTGTTGTTTGCCCTGCTTCACCATTGTTTATAAATGGGTTTGTTTATTTTTATTTTTCCGTTCGCTTTATTATTTTTCTGCGGTTTGTTGATTCTTCGTGCTTCGTAATTTCTTCCTTCTTTGTTGTTTCTCTGTTCTTCGTTTCTCTGTTCTGGCGTTTCTTCTTGGTCTGAAAATGGGTATAACTGAACGGTGGTTTTTTTCTGCGCCTTTTTAGCTTCTTTTTTGTTGTTTGATTTTTGAAATGTAACGGGCAAAGAGCGTGTAACACATACGGCGCGTTGGAAGTTGTAAAGAAGTTATGTAAAATTAGTATAAAGTAAAGGGTATTTTAGTATTTGCACATTTTATTAGAGACTGATCTGCATATTAGGCGCGTGAGTAGGGACTGAATTGCCAGGGGAAACTACCTAGGGACTGATCTGTGTTTTGAGTTTTGAATTATGGATTTATCTGTAGTTTCCCTTTTTACAACTAACCTTTAATTATATAATTCAAAGGTGTTAAACATAGGTATGTATGTCACATAAAATACGTATTAAATTTGTTATGAGTTGATTGGGGTCAGGCTAATGAGTACTTCACCGGTGCCCTTGTCCTTGATTCAGACTTCTGTCGCTCGAACAATATATGTTAAGCTGAATGATTGTGTTGAAAATTGAAATTATCAACTATTAAATATTTTGTCCTTTTTTTCTTTTATAAAACTGAATTTTTAGATGCCATACTTATTTAATCACACACACACACACCTAAAACAAAAGGCAAGTTTCTAAATTTAATTTCTTTTTTTTTTTGTTACCATTTCCTGTATTTATTTAATTGAGTTGTTTTTAATCGTCTATAATATATAACTTTTAAATGCTCTTCTACAGTTTCTTGTGAAGAAATAACCTCTCCGATTCAAAAAGTTTTATTGTTTTCCTTTTCAAGAAAATAAAACACACACACACACAGTTTCCTGTGTGATCTATGAACTAAGAAGGTCTATCCCTAAGATGGTTTTTTTCTTGTGATCATGTCTATGTATGCGAGGCTATCAATTAAAAGTTGTAATTTCTTAAATTATATTCATTGAAGTAAAATAGCAAATTTTAAATTTAGATTCGTTAATATTATTTAGGGTAAATTACAACCACCCCTGATGTATGGTCAAATTACGAAAACCCCCCTCTCTTGTTTGGATAATTACAACCACCCCCTCAACTCCTCAAATTTAGTGGAATCTTCGAGATTATATGGAATATTACCACTTTTGTACCCGTTTTATCACATTCGAACTCTACAGTTTGAAGCAAAATGATCATAATATGTGTTTTTTGGCTTGTATATATCAGATTGTGGTGAATCAGAAACTATATTTTTACGCAAAAAGAGTACAAACTAGAGCATATTCCACGAAATCTAGATGATTATGTTGAATTTGACACCATAAGGGTGGAGGTGTAAGAAAAAAACATAGTTGAGAGGGTAGATGTAATTATCCAAACAAGAGGGGTCTTTTTGTAAATTGACCATACCTCAGGGGGTGTTTGTAATTTACTCTATTATTTATGGTAGTCGCTCGAGTTTCTTTGTGGATTTTTAAAGTAAAATAGCTAGTACTAAACACTCCAACTCTATTTACAAATTAAACAGAGATGACTAATTATCAGTGCAAGAGATGACTAATTATCAGTTCATAC